CCCTACTTCAAAACGGAGACAACACGGCAAGGAACCCCTCCAACAGTACTATCCCTACTTCAAAACGGAGACAACACGGCAAGGAACCCCTCCAACAGTACTATCCCTACTTCAAAACGGAGACAACACGGCGAGGAACCCCTCCGACAGTACTATCCCTACTTCAAAACGGAGACACCACGGCAAGGCTAACATTGCGTCGGCTCCCCTCTGCTCTCCTCATTCTTCCTACCCGCTCCACAAGGGGCTGCCCAGGGCGGCAGCCACATGAAAGGCAGCTGGTCAATGAGGCCAAATGCACACGGGCGTGCAGTGATTTACCAAATTTATTTCTACTGATACAACAGTTTTGTTTCATGATATTCTTCTTATTGTCCCTCACCGATTTTTTTCAAAAAAGATTTACAGTGGTTTTAGATCACTGATATTTAAACATTAGGAGTGAAAAAACAATTGCAGATTAACAATTACTGTTAGAACTGTTTAGAAATATAAACTTTAAATATATCCATTCCTCAACAACTTGGCGTATCTTTACAAGAATAAGGTAGAAAGCTCTTCTTCTTCCCCTTCCTGTGAATTCAGTCCATAAAGCACGGCGACACAAGGCAGACACTCATGTGTGTTTGGGTGGGAGGGTAGGGCACCCTGGGGGCCCATAACGGGGTGCTCAAGTGGGTACTGAGCAGAGTGAGAAAGGTATCTGCACAAAGGGTCGGCCTGGCAGGGAATGTGAGCACCAAGGAGGGCGGCCCGGTGCAGAGCGAGGGAACCCAAGGGGAACAAGCAGGGCCCAGGCACAAGGACGGTCAGAGCAACAGCCCTGCAGAAGGTGCTGGAGCAGGAGTCAGGAAGGAGGGTGTCCAGGCAAGGGCAGGGGAGACGGGAGACGGGTTGTATATGGAGGACTCAGTAAGTCAGTAAATACAGTGGGGAGGAAGGGCAGCAGTTTTCTCGTTACCCGAGAAGGGGGGGTGCAAACACAGAGGAAACCAGAGTGTACACCGGAGTGCTGGATTAGAAGTGGGGGTGTCGGTGCGGACTCTCGAGCTCTCAGCACTACAGATGCAGACGTGACTACGGGTGTGAGAGTGTGTAACGTGTACACACATACGTGTACTATTTATGCACAAACGTGTATTTCCTAGTGGGGCCCGCTGACAGGGCCTGAGAGAAGCAATGAGCTCGTCTGTTTAGTCTCCACTAAAAGGGATGATGACCCCTCAGAAACAGTGGCTGATTCCAGGACTGAGGCAGGGAGCAATCGAGACAGGCCTGGAATAGTCTGCTGTTCTAGAAAGTAAGGAAGTGTTTCAAGTTGCTGAGGACACGTCAAAAGGACACATGAATCACACCAAGGGGGTTCCCATTGGCCAAATCTGGGCCAGCCTACACATCAACACTGTGATGTTATAAGCCAGCAACTAACACAGGAATCATGAGTCCATACCAATATAAAGTTTGAGGAAGGATGGGACATTTACAGTCTCAAAGCACCTCCTCACAAAATACTTACTAATTACCAACACAAAAAAATCCCTTTACAATGGAAAAATTTGGCAGACGCCCCTCCCTTCAAGGGATCAAAGTTAACGTGAGCGGGACTAGTAAGTGGACACTAAAGTTGTGTGACACCTGATAGGACGCAATGAGAACACACCATCACTTCTCTGATACTCCTGCTAAAGACACAAAACCTAAACTGAATCATTATGAAACATCAGGTGAACCAAAACTGAACGACACTCCTGGAAATAACCAACCAATAATTTTCAAAAGTGTCAAAGTCAGAACGTCCAGGAAAGACTGAGGAACTGGTCCACACCAGGGGAGACTAAGGAGACATGACAAACGCCAAGTGTGGCCTGGGTCCTTTTGCTACACGGGACGTCACTGGGACAGCTAGCAGGACCCGAATGGGACCTGAGGACCAGATGACAGCACCGTGCATCACTGGGAACTTCCTGGTCCCGTTGGTGGCAGTGAACCTTCTTGCTGACAGGAAACACACACTCGTGTACTCAGGGACAATGGGGCACCAGGTTTGCAGATTACTCTCAAATGGCTCAGAAGGAAATAAAGTTGTTTGTGCTGTATGTGCGATCTTTCTCTAAGTTTCTAATTGATTTTTTAAAAAAATTTTTAAACAGGAAGCAAGACAGGAGTACAGCCAAATATGACTTCACATCTGGCACTGCCCGCAGCGCTACTGGCTGAAAAGCTCCATGCTCAGAAGATGTCAGAGAACCGCTATTAGTAACTTAAATCCAGGACTAGAACCTCCTAGCTTCTAAGGCTCTATGTCACTACTCCCCACTTCATCTGTTACCACTGGGTCTTCCTGCCCTACAAGTTTTTTGTTTTTGTTTTTTTTAATTTTTAGCTTTTTAAATTTAAATTCACACAGGCGCATCCCTGCCCAGCCCAGTGACTTGCCGCGGGGAGTGTCACAGAGCCCTCGTCTGTGACACGGGGATAAGGTTTACGTGTATGCTGCACAACAGGAGGAGGTAAATAATGCGCAGCATCTGAAGGTGCTGTATCTGATACAAAGTGATCTGTGAATGTGAGCAACTGTTCCCCCATGGGTGAGGAACACAACAGTGTGCGTGACCCGTCCCCGCCCCCGGCCCCCAGACTGGAGCCGAAAGCGCAGACAGGAAACACCAGGGCACCCAGGGCTGAGCCACTGAGTGTCAGGGACGTGCTCTGCAGGGGGAGGGGGCAAGAGGGGCACCTGGATGGGCAGGGAGGCAGAGAGGGTGACTTACTGCGTGTTGTGCAGCACTGTCTGGACAAAGGCAGGGTTTGTCTCCATGGACGCCGTCACCAGAGAGGTTAGCAGAGACCAGTACCAGATTGCAGAAGCATCTGACACCGAGACCCCAGACTTCTTAACTCTCTGAAAGCCAACAGCCCTCAGACCATGAATCCTAGTGTCACATCCATCGCTAAGACAACGTTTTATGTTAATCTGGACATCTGTCAAGTGCAAACAACAAATTCAGTATTGGATTAACTTCTTCAGTTCAGCAAATACTAGGCTCCCAACTAAAAGCAAAATAGTAATTCACATTTTGAAAAGAAAATTCTGAAATATACTTTGATGCCAGAAATAAATAATGTGTACAATGGAGCTGGCATATAATAAACTTGTCAGAAAAGCATCGACCAAACTACGGAGTCATAGGACTACTGTGTAAATTTAAGGGTGGCTTAACCCTTGCCATCACAAAGTTTCTTAGGAATTTATGCATCTTGAAAATTAACACAAAGGCCATTTTTTTAGATCCTGATTAAATAAGTAAGAACATTTCTAGAATTTTTGCTGGGGTTCTGAAATTTTGACTTAAAAAGCTGCTGCCTCACAGCAGTTGTTAGAATTTATGTTTAGTAATCAAGTCCAAACAGATGACAACACAGGCATGACCCCCTTTTAAGAGCTGTCGCAATCCCTTGTTTGGGCTGGAGAGGAGGAGGTGGTAAGCTGAAGAGGGCACAGCTGAGAGAAAGCAGCGTCTACTCCAGGAGCTTAGCTACCACTTTGCCCAGGCACGAGACACAAAGACTCTACCTCCCTAGGCCTCAGTTCCTCTGAGCAAAGTAAGGACACTTCTTTTGGCCCAGGAAAGCATTAGGAGAAATGAGACAAAACATGAAGCATCCCGGCTCCCTGAATGAAAAAAGCCTGGAAAGAAATCACAGAATTGTGATTATTTCCAAAATGCTAGGTGTGAAGCAAGGTCATAATAGTATAAAAATGGAAACAACGTACATGTCCAGGAATAAAGGGCTGGTTAAAATTAAGGCACGTTCTTACATCGCTAAATAAAGGTGTGCAAGAACACATGGTCTGCAATATGCTAAAACATTTTACACAACAGCATGGAAAGAATATTGCCATTTTGTAAATACGTATACAAATATATTACATTTTGTGAATACATATGCACAATGCTATGTTTTAACCCGTGTGTGCGCAAACGCGCGCGCGCACACACACACACACACACACACACACACACACAAGTAAAGATCTGGAAGGATCCACACTAACATATTCATAGTGACAATCCCTTGGGTAGTGGGATTTTGAGTAATTTCTGTTTATCTATATTTTTCTAATTTTCTAATAAGGAAACAAGAATAAAATATTATTTGTTAAAAAGGGCTCCTATAACTTTCTACAACACCACAGAGATGAAATAATGGCTACTCCCATGTGCATCATGAGAAGCAAATCCAACCTCCCAAGAAAATCCGACAGTTTCTCCACTGTAGAGGTCCTCCCACTAAAAACGATCCCTTCTTCGCCCCTCCCACTCCCCAAATCAGAAGGCAAGCTGCCTCGTGGCTGACTCACAGAGCTGACTGATGTTGGCATTTTCCAGCAGTGTCACATAGCCAGTGACATTGCTGGGAATGTGCACATCGCGGACGTCCTGAAGATCGCTGGCACTTCTCCCCACAGCTACTGTCACCTGCTGCGGCATGTAGCTCTGGTCAGTGGCAGCCACCGCGATGGACAAGTGCCGAAGCACAACGTCTGGCTTCATTTTTAAGCTGGAAAACACAGGGAGCACAAACGACGAGTGTGTATATGGGGCGAAGCTGGCAGTGCCCACGAGTCCCATCTCTGCAGGCTTGAATTTGATTCCGTCAGACACTCTTTCCTAAAAGCAACCAACTGGAAAAGTCCTTATGACCTTCCTGTGTCTCTAAAATTCCTTTCAGTTCCAGGTTAATCTTACATTTCCTTTTAAGCTATCAGTACAGGCAGGAAAGTACAATATGAACACCCTAAAAAAACCGCTTGACCTGCAAGAAGCAAATTCTAAACCTCATCTGAAGAACTGAATATATTCCCTCATCTACAAGTTAGATGGCTAAAGGTCACATATACTCCCCATGAGAGAACAAGACAAATATTTCTGTTTCCACCAACTGAAATTGGCCCATTCTCTGAAGAGACAGGTGAAACTTTAGATGGCAGCTTCAGAACTTCTAGAAACACCAGCTTACTGCCGCCAACTCTACCCCAGGGTTCCTGCTCATCCCAACCCCTCCTCTTCTGCCAAACTGGCAAAGAGAGGTGCATACAGATTTTTTAATACACAGAAAGGATCTTAAAAAGTAAAATCACATCTGATATAAAAAAAGTACTTGCCCCTTGTGATGTTAATTTTCCTGAGAAACTAGTGGAAAAGATCTGAAATCATTACGATAAAATATCAGTCAAATACTCTTTCTCCCTTAAGTACCAAGTGCAGGAATTACCCACGTTCACGAATACACGACACAGGGAGCATGACTATCCACGTTCATGAATACACAACGCAGGCAAAATGACTACCTACGTTCATGAATACATGAAGCAGGCAGCATGATTTCATGTAATTCTTTTTACTTGATTCTTCAGACGTCTCCACAGATAGTCACTTCCAATAAGAAAACAACCAGGCAGTGCAGTAGAAAATATTCTAAACTTCAGAAGCTAATTTGTGACCACACTGATGAGGTAAGAGAAAGCAAGCAGGTCCTTTCCTGGGCTCTCACCAACCGCTGTTCTAGCACCCACCGAATCCAGTGTGAGCGGGCACTGCCATCTGACTGCCAGTAGGAGGACGTTTCTCCATTTGTCATCTTGTCGATGTCTGCCGGGTTGGAGGATGTTTCTATGTAAGCATAGCACTTTGCTACTGACTTAAGTTTGTCCATCTCCGGGCTTCTGGTTAGATCTCCAGGACTTTCTGCAGGGAAAACCAGATTCTATCACATGACATCTCTTTCACAAAGGGAAATAAAGGGTCATTTAAAATATCTAACATAAATATGCTTGGTACTTTGGTCCTGGAAAAATAAGTATTCCTTAAAATCTCCTTCCAAAAAGCCCTTATAAAGCAGAAATTGGCCAAGGATTGCTCCATGAGTTCACTATAGTAAAATACTTAATTCATTGATATATTTGCAAAACCACACTAAGAGAAGAAAAGGGTATCTTACAGTTTCAATGGACATTTCTTTAAATATGTGTGAGACTTTGTAAGCCACTTGCATTTTTGAGAGCAGCCCCATCCTACCCTCATCTAACTTTCTGCTGGGTCCCAAGTCTTCTCGCCGGTTTGTATGTTACAGGACGTAGACCCACACACACGTAACAGGTGCTGTGTACCATGAGCCGGGCACTTCTCTCTCTGTTTTCTATGTACTAATTCAGTTCAGAGATGAGGAAACCAAGGCACAGAGAGTTAAGTAAGTGCCCAAGGTCAGGGTTAGTAAAAAATTCAGTTTGTCCTAACATGTTACAAAATATATTTTTGTTCCCTAGAATATCATTCGTCTTTTGACTCTTCTTCTATTTTCTGCTATACAGACCTTTCAGTTTGCATAAAGTCTAATTTATGAATCCGATAGTTTCTGAGTCTCACATCTTGCTTAGCGAGGTCCCTGTGCCAAGAGCTGTGCAGAGTGGGACTACTCTCTTCTAGCACTTCAGTTTCTTTACAGCTGAACTTTTCGATCCACCTGAAATTTGTTTCAGTGAATGGAATGGGTTAAGAATCTGGTTTTATTTTTTTCTCCAAAAGGCTGGCCAGTTGCCCTGACCTCACATGTTGACTAATTCACCTTTCCATCCATTTGTAATGCTGACTCTACCTGGTACTATGTTCCCACATGCACTTGAGTCTGTTTCTGGACTCAGTACTATGTTCCACGGACCTGAGTGAGTCCACACTGTGTGTGGTGGCTTTCCTCCTTGACTCAACTACTACTCACAGAGTACCTACTATGTGTCAGGCAGAGTTCCGAGTGCTAAGGATAATGACACAAACAAGGCAGACAAAACGGAGAGAAATAATAATGTTACAATTTCAAATAATAAGTGCCATTTAGAACATTAAACCTACAAAGGTGATGGTGACCAGAAGAGGGGAATGATGGGGAATGGGGGCGTTAATTAGAGTAATGAGACCTGAACTACGAGAAGCCAGTTGTGGGAAGGAAGGAAGGTGGGAAGGAGGGAAAGCAGGCAGGCTGGCTTACAGAGATGAAAACAGGGAGAAGGGCTGGCTCCTACGGCATGTGGAACGTGTTGAGGAGCTCCCACCACATGAGTACACGTACCCTTTTCTCTCTGGAGCAGCTGATCCAAGGACTCCTTCAGAACGGAAGCCCTCATGGAGCACACATTCCCACAGTGGTCCAGCATGGGGCAGGGGACAGCCGTGCCGGAGAGCCGGTTGCGGTGCAGGAAGCGCAGGATCAGGGATGCGTGCACACCCAGGCCCTCCTTGGACTCTGAAAAGATGTCTATGAAACCTAGGCAGACAAAACCCATTTTTGTTTTTTAGAAACCCACCACAATAGTGTTCCCACACCCCCTGCCTGGTGGCCTCTCTGAATTGGCTGAATTAAAAGCAGCCGTTAAGAATCTTCATTGAGGGCGCCTGGGTGGCTCAGTCATTGAGCGTCTTGCCTTCGGCTCAGGTCATGACCCCGGGGTCTTGGGATCGAGCCCCACATTGGGCTCCCCTCGCGAAGCCTGCTTCTCCCTCTCCCACTCCCCCTGCTTGTGTTCCCTCTCTCTCTGTTGAAAAATAAATTAAAATCTTTAAAAAAAATAATCTTCATTGATATTTTCAGCTTTTTTTTTTTTTTTTAAAGATTTTATTTATTTATTTCACAGAGAGAAGGAGACAGCGAGAGAGGGAACACAAGCAGGGGGAGTGGGAGAGGGAGAAGCAGACTCGCCACTGAGCAGGGAGCCCGATGTGGGGCTCGATCCCAGGACCCCGGGATCATGACCTGAGCCGAAGGCAGACGCTTAATGACTGAGCCACCCAGGCGCCCCAGTATTTTCAGCTTTAATCATTTAAAAATCTAAACAAGTTTTAAGAAATGAACCAGTGGCTAGAGTGCCTGGGTAGCTCAGTTGTTTAAGTGGCTGACTCTTAAGATCTCAGCTCAGGTCTTGACCTCAGGGTCATGAGTTCAAGCCCCACATTGGGCTCCATGCTGGGCATGGAGCCTACTTTAAAAAAAAAAAAAAAAAAAGACAAGAAAAGAAATGAGAAATGAACCAGTGGTAACCTCAATTTAAACATTAATTTTGGGGCACCTGGCTGGCTCAGTTGGTGGAGCATGAGCCTCTTGATCTTAGGGTTGTGAGTTTGAGCCCCATGTTGCGTTGTTGAGATTACTTCAAAATAAAATCTTAAAAAAATTTTAATTTCATTTTAGTTTAATAGAATTTTAGAAGACTTACAGTAAATGATTATTTGTTTCAATCCAAGCTTTAAAAAATGTATAAGCACTGAAATACTGACCAGAAGTTTTTATATAATTTTGTATACAGAACGTGGACTAGGAACCAAGTTTATCACATTAGAAAGTAAAAGTGTAACTGCTTTTATATACTAAGCTACATGAGACCACGATAATGATTATGCAGCCACCACCCTGACCATAGTCCCCGTGGCATCTTACAATGCACAAGGCTCTGCCCCAGGTGCTCCTCCCGGGCTCCACGTTCTCTCCAGGGCGGCTCCCTGGAGTCTGCCCACTCTGCCCATCCCTCTGGCCACTGCCCAGGCTCTGGCCTCACATCTCCTGTTCATACTGACCCACCCAGATTTCCTGAGTGGCTCTCCTGGCTGCCCTTTGTCTGGCATTAACCCAAGTAATCCTACAAACACAACGTCTACCCGTTTAAAACCCTTTCATGATCCATCATAACCTACAATGCGTATGCCTGGAACCAAGGTACCCACACCCAGTGTGAAGAAGGGAGAGGATAAATGCAGCAGCTCCTCCTGGAGCTCAGATACACTTGTGGATTTGGGGGCATTTCTTTTCTGTTTGCGTTCTAATGAATCACGACAGACATAAGGAACAGTGCCCACAGTGTAAGCGCACTGCCTGATGAGCTTTCACAAACGGAACACCCCATCTAAGCAGCACCTGGAACAAGGCTCCAGAAGTCTTAGGAGAAGTTACTTTAAGTGTAAAACAGGTTATATCCGAGAATGAGACTTCGCACTGATTTTCAAGATAGAACGTGAGGCTAAGGAGAAACTGTGTGTTGGAAGCACCCCATTTTGATGACGCCCCCCCAACCCCAGGCAAACCCTGGAGACACCGGTTCAATTCCCCCAAGACTCAAAAGTCCGTGCCACCCCTCACCATCCTCGTACAGTTTTTCTTCCGTTGGCGGACCCCACAGCAGCACCACCCTGACGTGAGGACGCGGCTGATGGCGAACCCATGTGTTCAGGATGCACGTGAGAACACAGATGGCCTCTTCTAACGGGAAGTCATACAAGTCTGGCAAACACTGAGCGCCAGCATGATAGGGTAAGAAAGGGACAAGTTCCAATCTCGGCTGGAAAGAGGGACGAGGAAACAAATCCCAGGAGCCAGGCTAGCCCAGCTTACCAAGGTTCAGGCTAGGACTGTAATAAAGCAGTATCTTTTAAACTGAGTGGTGATAGAGAATTTTGACAAGAACGTCCCAGTCACAACTCTGGTACATAAACACCTCAGGGTCCGAACCCCACGTTTTTCTCACCTAATCTCCCCAGAGCAACAATGCAGTAAGTATTATCTTGGGTGGGTTCCCTGATCTCCACCCCATCCCTCCCCTCCCAAACATCTGTTTGAGTTGTCCACATAAAGCTCCTGATGCTTCCCCTGTGCTGGTAGTGCAAAAGTGGGAGTAATAGGTAAATGCATCAAGATATAATTTAGCTAAACATAATCCAAAGCATAATTTTAACTGCCGTGGAGTAGGAAAAAGTTCACATGTCTGGACTGCTTACAACGCTCTATAAAGATGACATAATCAAAGACAACTTGAGGAAGAACGGAAATGTGCATTCTTCACTCATACACAAACATCATCCTTCCCTAGCTCAGCACAGCCTCCGCATTAAGCCAGAGAGGTCAAGGGCAATCAAATTCACGTTTACGCATCTACCAAGTCTACCTGCCTCCACCGCTGTTCTTGCCAGGCTCTGTGCTAAGTAGTAGGACACTGAATGCATAGCAGGAAAGTTCTGAGATAAGCTGAGGCTAAAAGGGTGATATGCAAAGTTTTTTCCTTTTAAAAACTCAATTGTTTTCTCACTGGAAAAAAAGGAGGGCAATTTAACTGTGAATCTGTCTTCTGAGTCCCCAGAAGAAACCATACAGAAACACAAAGTTTGTTCATAGGTACAATGTAGAAGAAGTATTGCTTAATTTGTACCCTACTTATATTATTACTTAAATTTCTGAGTGATAGCTTTCTAATAAAACAAACAAAAAAACCCATTGGGTGCCTACCATATACCCAAAATGTGTTAAATGTGAGGACACAGCAGAAGAGGCCACTATCCTCATGGAGCTCACAGTGTAGGAGTAAAGACAGACATTTACAGATAAGCGGGTAATTAATTAATTACAGTGGTGACATGAGGCAAAAGACAAATGCACGATGCTAAGAGAACCAGGAGCCAGGGACAGCTTCTTGAGAGAGTGAAATAAAGAGATCCACTAAGGAAGGTAGGCTCACAACAAAAGTTCATAAAAATGGCAGAACTGCTCAAGCATCACGGTACTGGGGACCCAAGGAGATGACTGCACGGACTGAGTCAGTTCCTGCGCTTAAATGAGACTCTTGGAGAAGCACATTTATCTCACGGGGCCCTCACCTTGCCTAATTACAACCCACAGGACAGCAAAGTTCATCCTGGCCCTATGCTAGCACTCTCTGGCCTTCAGCACTCAGGTGAGAGCCTTACCTGGGACAAGAGAACAGGCCTGCAGTTGTCTGATGATGTGGCTTAATTCCCCCTGGAGATTAGCTCCACTGGAATTCTTGAGGGCCTCCAACATGTTCTCAGCATCGACGGTACCATCGCCCTCTGCATCAAACTGGGCAAAGGCCTACAACATAAGAGATGCAATATAGTCACGTGTGTTCCACATCTGACACTTTGTTGCTGCCGGTGCCCTGGGGTAGTTGAGCAGAGTCCATTTACATCACTCAGAGAACAATCAAATTCAGGACAGTAACTCACTATGCTTTGCAGAGTGTATGTATACAAGTATTACTTCATATACACACAATTTTGTCATCTCATCTCTCTTTCAAGAGATTAATCCCCTTCTCCCAAATAATTTCAGGAAGCAAGCAGTACAACATTTTCCAGCAAGTTACAGAGAACCAGATAGAAAGCTAGAGTGGGAGACTTGGCTCAGAGTAGCATGTCAGGTTTAGCAGGGCTTTTCTTTTCAAACACTCTTTGGACACAAGACCTAACTGGATATTTATCCATGTCACCGCTCTGTTTTCATTAACCTTTAGCCATAGTCGAGCTTGCTCCCTGCCAGTATTGAGCCATCTGGGGAAGTGGGTAGAGTGTGGGATTTGGTTTGAATCCTGCTCTGTCACTAACCGGCTATATGACTACCCACACATTCCTTTACCTCCAGAAGCCTTAGCTCCTTGATCTAAATGATGGAGCAAATATTACCAAACTCACAGGCTGCTGTCTGGACTAAGCGGCATCTGAACAGAGTCCAATACAATGAAAGCACATTAGAGTGCTTTTGAACCCGCGCCGGCACCCTCTCCTGCGTCCCTGACGCCAGCTCCTCCCATGTTCTACAAGACTCTCCTCACCTGGCGACTGTCCTGTCTCCCCAGATCTCAGTCCCTCCCGGATCAGTGGCTTCTCTCTTCCTGCTGATTCACTCACTCACAGGCATCCCTCACCATGAAGTTCTTCAGGAGTCTCCCAACTTCTTTCCTAAGTAACCCTCTCTCTCCCTTAAAACTCCTGCCTTTTCCTTATTTCCCTCCTTTGTGGAATATGGAGATGTCCCACTGAGGCTTCATGACTGGCACGAGTACCCCGATTTCCACCACAGACCTCTAAACACAGTGTTTAAAAGGAACAGAGCAAATTCCTACACTCAGGTCCAAAAACCATGGGCATAAATGTAGGCTGGGGGACAGAGTTTGGAGCTATGTGTGAGGGAAAGACAAAGCCTTCTCTTTGCATTTCCTCAACCTGACAAGATTATCCAAAAAAAAATGACAGGATCAAAGGCTACGCTACTCAAAGGATGATGTTCAAAAGGAGAGAAAATATCACCCTGTTCTTTTCTGATTAGACCCAGTCAGGAAGCCGCGTTGGGTCTGGAAGCTCCCCACCAAAAAGAAATGAAACGGAAGGGATCAGAGGAAAGAGATCGTGGTGGAGAGAAGACACTGCCCATGAGGATGGATGCAGAAGCACAGGCTTTCAGGGTGAAGAATGGGTGCCTGGGACGGGCTGTCACAAGAAGGGCCAGTGAAAACGAAGGTCATGAGACAGAAGTTAGAGGGAAAAAATTTAAAATAATTAATTAATTAATTTAAGAAAGACGTTAGGGCGCCCGGGTGGCTCAGTCGGTGAAGCGTCTGCCTTCGGCTCAGGTCATGGTCCCAGGGTCCTGGGATAGAGTCCCACATCGGGCTCCCTGCTCAGCAGGGAGTCTGCTTCTCCCTCTGCCCCTCCCCCTGCTTGTGCTTGTGCACATGCGTGTGCTCTCGCTCTCTCTCAAAAATAAATAAAATCTTAAAAAAAAAAGACAAAAATAAATAAATAAAATTAAAATTAAAAAAGACATTAGAGGGAAAAGCTCATTATGAAGATGGACTTGTCTGTTGCCAATGGGGCAGAAAGATGGATTAGGGACTCCGGGAAGGAACGCCCACCGCATCCGTTAAGGCTTCCGAGCAAGCTGGACCACCAGCCATCAAGAGTTTTCAAACAAATACGTTTACCTCTATTTCCTCCTGAAATCCCACTAAGACAATATCATGAAGGGATTTTTTTTTCTAAGCACAAAAACAAAGAGAACATTATGTGATGCAACAGCAACAACATTTTGGAAGCTGGAAGGCTGGAAAGCAGACGATGCCTACTGCTGGCCACTCCTCCACAAGAAAGCGGAGCCCTGAGCTGGAGCTGTGCAAAGCAGAGACACAGACTGCTCCCCACTGCAGGACCCCAAAAGCCTTCTAAGGCCACGGGCGCCACCAAGGGTGGAGGTAATCGATGAGGGGCCTATTTTAAAAAGCAGTTAGAAATGACTGGCTGTGATACTGACCTTCAGGAATTACTGGGGTATGGTTTTTTGTTTTGAAGGGAAAGGGTGATAGTAGGATTGTGTACTTTTTAAAGAGTTCTCATCCCTTAAAGATATTTAATGAAACTTTTATAGATGAAAAAAAGTATTTGTGGATGGAAAAGACTTCCTTCAAAATAATTTGGAGGAGAAAGTAGGTGGGATTTAGATGAAATAAAATTGGCCTTGAGTTGGTGGTTGTTGGAACTGGCATGTGAGAGAGATCATTCTACACTTATCTCGGCTTCCCTCTGTTTAAAATTTTCCATTCAACAAACAAACAAACATAAGACATCCCCAGATCCTCTCTCCAGTCAGAAGCCTGGGGAGTTGATTCCATCAGAGAAAGTAGCACAGAGTCTCTGGACGAGGAAATATCAAGCACTAGAGCTTACAGGGTAAAGGTTTAGAAGACTCACCCTTCCTCTCGGGCTCCCAGAATGCTAGCAGCCTGTCGCACACCCTTCAGGCAAGAGACTGGGGCACCAGACAAGCCCATGAGGACAGACCTGGAGACACCGATACTGGAGGGCTCCCCACGAAAGGGCCCAACCCGTTCACCTTACAGTGAGGCTCAGCGTCACCAGCCAGATGCATGGAGAACCCACCTCTTTAGTCTCCCACTCTTTAATAGGAGTTTCCAGCCCAGGACAACTGGACATTTGAGGAAAGACTTCATAGGAAACACAGAAATGGCAACTTGGAGAAAAGAAAGGAGGAGAAGAAAATGTCAAAATGATTATCATTAATACTTCAGAAAAATATTTTAAAAGATATTTTTAATACCAGCTTACTGAGGTATAATTCACATATCACAAAACTCACCCTTTTAAAGTGTACAACCTAGGGCGCCTGGGTGGCTCAGTCGGTTAAGCGACTGCCTTCGGCTCAGGTCATGGTCCTGGAGTCCCGGGATCGAGTCCCGCATCGGGCTCCCTGCTCAGCAGTGAGTCTGCTTCTCCCTCGGACCCTCCCCCCTCTCATGCTCTCTCTCTCTCTATCTCATTCTCTCTCTCAAATAAATAACATCTTTAAAATAAATAAATAAATAAAGTGTACGACCTAGTGGGTTTTAGTATATTCAGAGTTGGGAAGCTGCCACCACTACCACCTAATAAAAAAGAACCCTGTATCGTCATGAAAGGCCAAGACACTATTACTGAAAACAGTGTATTCATTTTTTTTCAAGATTTTATTTGTTTATTTGAGAGAGAGAATGAGAGAGAGAGAGCACGAGAGGGAGGAGGGTCAGAGGGAGAAGCAGACTCCCTGCCGAGTAGGGAGCCCGACGTGTGACTCAATTCCGGGACTCCAGGATCATGACCCGAGCCGAAGACAGTCGCTTAACCAACTGAGTCACCCAGGCGCCCCGTGTATTCAGAACATTTTTATAAGCTCTTGAAAGTTAAAAATACCACAGCAAAATGAAAATCTCAACAATAGATCTGGGAAGATAAATCTCAAAAGGCTGGAAGATAAATTGACTAAAGTGCCCAGAGACTAGAGCAAAAGACAAAGTGATGGAAACTAGGCAAGAGGAAAAGAAACGGGAGACCAGTCCAGGAATCCAATATCCAAATACTACAAGTCCCAGAGAAGGAAACACAGAAACAGGAGGGAGAGAAATGGCAATTCTTATGGTCCAAGATAATCTCCTCCAACTGAAGGACATGAGTTTTGAAACTGAAGAGGCTGAACACCCTCCGTGGTGAATAAAAGCACATCGTATTGAGATTTCATAACACAGAGAGGAAAGAGAAGTTCCTACTCCCAGGGAGAAGACGCAGTGTCCATGTCAGAGGTCAGGAATCAGAGGCTGATTCAGCAGTTACACAGGGAGCTGGAATAGGAGCAGGGTCTTCAACATTCTGGGGGGACTCTCTCTCACCCAGAAGTTAATACACAGTCAAAATACCACCAACTTTGAGAGAGTGGAAAAAGACATTCTCACACATGCAAGGCTCTCAAAAAATAAACTAGTTAATGCTCCCTTATTCAGAAAGCTCCTAGAGGGTGCGGTCACCAGAAAACCGAATATGCCAAGAATGGGGAAGAACGGGGTCCAACCTGAGAGAAAATGAATCCCTGGTTGCTGGAGATGCCAACAACCTAAAGAACACCAGGTCCAGAATGAAGCAGATCAGAGGGCTCTTGAGAAGGTGAGTCTGATGCAACTCCCGTGTGCCTGAACACAGCCAATTGTGTTGCAAGGGATTCAGGCAAGTGGCAGAGAATCTGGGGTTAAATTAATGACAGAAGAACATAAAATTGACCAGTTCTGACAGCAACAACTCTCTTCTCTGTGTAATGAATGGAAATGTGTCTCCCTAATGTCACCACCTGTGGGGCCCTTCAGAACACATCTGATCCCTCTGCCCCAAAACAGCCCACGGATCACTAAACATGGTGATCAACAGGCCCCGAGTCTCCCTCAGCCAGTTCTCTATCTGCTACGGCTTTAGTCTCATTCCCACGCTGGCTGTCCCCTCTGGGGCCCTCCAGTTTGACATAACCTCAGAGCAGGGCGTCTCAAGTCTCACTGTAAGAAATACATTTCGGGGGGCGCTTGGGTGGCTCAGTCGGTGAAGCATCTGCCTTCGGCTCAGGTCATGATCCCAGGGTCCTTGGTACCCCACATCAGGCTCCCTGCTCCACAGGAAGCCTGCTTCTCCCTCTGCCCCTCCCTCCCTGTTTGTGTTCTATCTCTGTCACTGTCTCTCTCAAATAAATAAAATCTTAAGAAAAAAAAAAAAGGAAAGAAATACATT